TGGCCGGCACTGCAGATCACTAGGCTAATCCTCCGCCTGAGTCACTGGCACTCCAGGTTCTGGTCCCAACTGGGGCACCGGTTCTGTCCTGATTGCTTCTCTTCCAGTCCAGCTCTCTGTTGTGGCCCGGTTTTTTATTTTTACATTATCATTTAATAAAATTTTGGCAATGCTTTCATTAAACCAATGATAACTTCTGGTTAATCTCTGCCACTTAATAGAGGTGGGCACACTTGCTTATATATTTCCATGTTTAGACATTTATTCCTCTGTGGTGAAGTTGATGTTTTCTCTATTTATGTATCCTGTATTCATTCTATCACTCCTTTTTCTACAGAGCAATGTAGAAGGAAAGCCAAGAAATTTTCTTTTAAATCCTTGCATTTGCATTTTCTTCCAGGTATGATTCAGGGCACTTCCAGATATTTCAAAGAGCAAAGAAAATTAATACATCACCTGCAAATTATGTACTTTTTAAAGCATATTTGTTTCATTCATTTGAAAGACAGAGTCATAGAGAGTGATAGAGAAAGAAAGTGAGAGAGAGAAAGAGAGTCTTCCATCTGCTGGTTCATTCCGCAAAAGGCCACAATGGTCAGAGCAGAGCCAATCTAGACAAGAGGCAGGAGATTCTTCTGGGTCTCCTGCATAGTTGCAGGGGTCCATGCACTTGAGTCATACTCCAGTACTTTCCCAGTCATATTAGCAGGAGCTGTATCTGAGGTGGAGAAGCTGGGACTCAAACTGGCACTCATATGGGATGCTGGCTGTGGGTAGGGCTTTAATCCACTGTGTGATAGCACTGGCCCCTGTAAGTGGTTTTCGTAATTATTCCCCAGCTTGCTGTCAGTTTTCTTTTTAGATTTATAATAATTTATTAATGGAAATGGAAAAATAAAGATAAATTTTATTCTCAGGGAATATAAAGAAACAAGATGAATGATGAATTTATCATGACTATCAAGCATTGCAGTTATCCAAGATAAGGCAATTTGGTCTCTCATCTTTCTGTTGCCATAGCAAAATATATATTTGTTATATGGTTTCAGTTGAAGCTTCAAGGACAATATTCTAAATTTTGGGGTCATGATGTCCAATACAGTCTTTAGTGTTATACAGATGATGTAGTGGGCAGTGTTTTAGTGCCACCCTGGAAATAAACACTTAGCATTCTGCAAGGGAAAGAGTTACCTAGGGCTAAACCACAAATAAGTTGCATTTATTTTTTAATTGTTAGAGTAATGCAGTCCTTAATAGTTTGAGGAGTTGAACTTGATTCCAAGGTAGAGTAAGGACTATGTGGGGGAAATAATCTACTGCAGGTTCTTTTATGTTTTAAGATTTTTTTTAAAGATTTATTTATTTATTTGAAAGTCAGAGTTACCCAGAGAGAGGAGAGGCAGAGAGAAGAGAGGAGAAATCTTTCATTCGATGGTTCACTCTCCAATTGGTTGCAATGTCCGGAGCTGCGCTGATCTGAAGCCAGGAGCCAGCAGCTTCTTCTGGGTCTCCCACATGGGTTCAAGGGCCCAATCATTTGGGCCTTCTTCTACTGCTTTCCCAGGTCAGAGCAGACCAGCTAGATCAGAAGTAAAGCAGCTGTGTCTCAAAACAGCACCCATTGGGATGCCGGCACTTTAGGTCAGGGCATTATAAAAAAAGCAAAAGCTACTTTCTATTCCTTCTTGAATCTCCTCCCTTATTTAAAAATATTTATGAGCTTGATAGAGAAAGAAGTTGATGGACTGAGAGAAAGCTAGAGAGCTCCCATGCACTTCTTCACTGCCTAAATAATCATATCAAGCAGGGGTGGGGCACAACTGAAGCCAAGAGTCAGGAATGGAATCTAGGCCTCCCTCTTGGTTGGCATCACCATTGCTTCCCCTGGTCTGCATTAGCTGGGAGCTGGAAACTGGAGGTGGCACTGAAATCCAACTTTGGAAATTTGATGCAGAGATAGAGTATCTGAGCTGGCATCATAAACACTAAGTTAAACGCCTACTGTCTCTTTTAAAATATTTTTGTACAACAAAAACAAAGCCAGAGGCATCACAATACCAGATTTCAGGACATACTACAGGGCAGTTGTAATCAAAACAGCATGGTACTGGTACAGAAACAGATGGATAGACCAATGGAACAGAATTGAAACACCAGAAATCAACCCAAACATCTACAGCCAACTTATATTTGATCAAGGATCTAAAACTAATTCCTGGAGCAAGGACAGTCTATTCAATAAATGGTGCTGGGAAAATTGGATTTCCATGTGCAGAATCATGAAGCAAGACCCCTACCTAATACCTTACACAAAAATCCACTCAACATGGATTAAAGACCTAAATCTACGACCTGACACCATCAAGTAACTAGAGAACATTGGAGAAACCCTTCAAGATATTGGCACAGGCAAAGAATTTCTGGAAAAGACCCGGGAGGCACAGGCAGTCAAAGCCAAAATCAACTATTGGGATTGCATCAAATTGAGAAGTTTCTGTACTGCAAAAGAAACAGTCAGGAGAGTGAAGAGACAACCGACAGAATGGGAAAAAATATTTGCAAACTATGCAACAGATAAAGGGTTAATAACCAGAATCTACAAAGAGATCAAGAAACTCCACAAAAACAAAACCAACAACCCACTTAAGAGATGGGCCAAGGACCTCAATAGACATGTTTCAAAAGAGGAAATCCAAATGGCCAATAGGCACATGAAAAAATGTTCAAGGTCATTAGCAATCAGGGAAATGCACATCAAAACCACAATGAGGTTTCACCTCACCCCGGTTAGAATGGCTCACATGCAGAAATCTACCAACAACAGATGCTGGCAAGGATGTGGGGAAAAAGGGACACTAACCCACTGTTGGTGGGAATGCAAACTGGTCAAGCCACTATGGAAGTCAGTCTGGAGATTCCTCAGAAACCTGAAGATAACCCTACCATTCAACCCAGCCATCCCACTCCTTGGAATTTACCCAAAGGAATTTAAATTGGCAAACAAAAAAGCGGTCTGCACCCTAATGTTTATTGCAGCTCAATTCACAATAGCTAAGACCTGGAACCAACCTAAATGCCCATCAACGGAAGACTGGATAAAGAAATTATGGGATATGTACTCTTTAGAATACTATACCGCAGTAAGAAACAACGAAATCCAGTCACTTGCAACAAAATGGAGGAATCTGGAACACATCATGCTGAGTGAAGTAAGCCAGTCTCAAAAGGGACAAATACCATATGTTCTCCCTGATCGGTGACAACTGACTGAACACCAAGAGGGAAACCTGTTGGAGTGAGGTGGACACTATGGGAAATGGTGGCTTGATCAGCATAGCCCTGACTGTTAATGAACAACTTAATACATTATCCCTCTTAGTAGTTTTTTTGTCTGTTCTACTTAATATGACTGGTTTAATTCTGTAATTATCACACAGTTATTCTTAAGTGTTGAAAATTAACTGAAATGTGATCCCTGTTAAACATAAGAGTGGGAATAAGAGAGGGAAGAGATGTATAATTTGGGACAGGCTCAAGCTGACTTGCCCCAAATGGTAGAGTTAGAAACATACCAGGGGATTCCAATTCAATCCCATCAAGGTGGCATGTACCAATGCCATCTCACTATTCCACGTGATCAATTTCAGTTCACAATTGATCATAATGAAAGGACTAAGAGTCAAAGGGAGCACATAAACAAGTCTAGTACCTGCTAACACTAACCGATAGAATAAATAAAGGGGAGAGTGATCCAACATGGGAAGTGAGATACTCAGCAGACTCATAGAATGGCAGATGTCCTAAATAGCACTCTGGCCTCAGAATCAGCCCTAAAGGCATTCGGATCTGGCTGAAAAGCCCATGAGAGTATTTCAGGCATGGAAAGCCAAGACACTCTGGCAAAAGATCTCTGTGAGTGAGATCCCAGTGGAAAGAACAGGTCTTCAAAGAAGAAGGTACCTTTCTCTGAAGGGAGGAGAGAACCTCCACTTTGACTATGACCTTGTCTAAACAAGATAAGAATCGGAGAACTCAGAGGGCTTCCATAGCCTTGGAAACTCATGACTGGAGCATAGGGAGATTACTGATGCCATAGACAGGAGTGTCAATTGGTAAAGTCAACAACAGGAGTCCCTGTGCACTTACTCCTCATGTAGGATCTCTGTCCTTAATGTGCTGTGCATTGAGATTTAATGCTATAACGAGTACTCAAACAATATATTTCACTTTGTGTTTCTATGGGGGTGCAAACTGTTGAAATCTTTACTTAATGCATACTAAACTGATCTTCTGTTAAAAAAAAAAAAGAAATTATCAACTCCCAACTTGACTCTCACTGGGATTAAACATGACAATAGGTCTGATCTGATTTCATCATCATTTAAAAAAAATCATCTATTATTTTTCACTTTATGTTTCTGTGTGGGAGCAAACTGTTGAAATCCTTACTTAATGTATACTAAGCTGATCTTCTGTATATGAAGAGAATCGAAAATGAATCTTGATGTGAATGGAAGGGGAGAGGGAGTGGGAAAGGGGAGGGTTGTGGGTGGGAGGGACGGTATGGGGGGGAAGCCATTGTAATCCATAAATCGTACTTTGGAAATTTATATTCATTAAATAAAAGTTAAAAAAAATATTTTTTCTCTGCCGTAATTGCATTGACTGTGCATGGTGTTTTCCTGGAAATTCTTCTCTGTTCAGTCCCTTCATAACTTCCCTGATGGTTTCTTGTCTTTTTCCCTGAATGCTTCTACATTCTTCTGAACATTGCTCATTCCAGAGTGACTGCTGTCCCCCTTTCAGCCTACTGTGCAATTGCCCTTGACATAGTCTGGCCTTTGTGAACAGAAATTCCTGTTTCCCTCCAGCTTGGGGATCTTTCACAGCCTTAATACCATAGGTTTGACCCCCTATTGAATGCTTCTGTGTAGATGTCCAAATGCTCAACAAATCTGAAATGAAATGACATCCTTCCTTCTTCCTTCATACCCATGTAGAAGATATACAACTGCCATTGTCTGTTATATGACAGAGTTGACCTGTTGACCAGGAGTGTTGTATCACAGATGATGATAGCATTTGAAGACCTGGCTGTGATGTGATGTGATGCTGGAGACCTACAGCAGCCTGCTCTCCTTGGGTGAGTGATACTCATCACATGCCCAATGGTAACATTTTCTCAATATTTGACAAATAAGTGAGCAGTATTTATAGTTTAATGAGGGACAGGTATTGAATTTGAGTCCATGAATACTTTGAATATCTACCACCTGAGAAGGAATTCAGTTTGGAGCACTGGTTGCATAGCTCCTGGACCAAGCTGTACTCCTTTAATTAACCCAAGATAGTGATTTCACAAAGTGTTACATTATTTCCATTAATAGGGCACTGCATGACTAAATCTGACTTGATCTTCAAGTTGGAGCAAGGAGCAGAGCCCTGGATGGGGCAAGAATACCTACATCAGAGCCTTCCAGGTCAGTCTGCACATAATGGGCAGGGAGGCCAAGGTAGAAGCAGTGCAGCAGATGCTGACTGGTGCTCTTTCCATGAGTTTTTCCCAAGTCTTACTCCTGAAGACAGCTGGTCTTGTGATTCAGACACAGACATTCTACAGTATCTATGGAGATCAGTATCTCTGGTAAAGGCAAAGGAAATGAAGTTTTATGTGAAAATCAACAACTGATCAAAACCTCAAGAAACTCAAATTATCACAGAGGAGTGTTTATAGAAAGAAATGAGAGGAGGTAACCAGGGCTGATGTCTTCACAATGAGTTAGAAATCAATTTTCAATAATTGAGCAGACTCTGGGTTGCAGAAACAAATTCTTTAAACATGGGAATGTATAGCAAAGGTGGTCTATTGGGACTTTCTGTAACTGTTGTAGTTCGAAGAAGCTGAGGATGTCAGGTTTCCCACAAATGCTGTTTTCCTGGGAAGACAGAACATGAGACAACCACATATTCAAATGTTGTCCCTTAAATGTGATCCTGCTTGGCATACAGACACATTTCACTCTTCTCCACATGCAAGTAAATAATCTAGTAAAACTTTCCCATATTGATAGTTGAAATATTAAAGAAGTACAAAACACATATTTAAAAAAAAATGAACTGAAAAAAAAGGGCAGTGGTGTCTGGCACTGTGGTGCAGTGCATTAAAGCCCTGGCATCTAGAGGTGGCATCCCATATGGTCATTGGTGCAAGTCCCAGCTGCTCCACTTCTGCTCCAACTCTCTCATGCCCTGGGAAAGCATTAGAAGATGGCCCAAGCCCTTGGGTTTCTGCACCAGCGTGGGAGACCCAAAAAATGCTCCTGGCTCTTGGCTTCGGATCAGCTGAGCTCTGGCCTTTGTGGTTGTTTAGAGAGTGAACCAGTGGATGGAAAACCTCTCTCACTCTCAATGTCTCTGGCTCTACCTCTCTCTGTAAAACACATAATAGATCTTTTTTAAAAAGGACAGGGAAAATTTGTTTTCTAGGTAATAAGTGAGTATTTTTATTAAATATTTGTCCAACTTTAAAATATAGTTGTTTTATCTTTGTACAAGTCAGAATGGCAGTGAGAAAGAGATTTTATATTAGCTCCCTCCCCAAAAACCTACAACAGTTAGTCTGACTAATCTGAAGCCCAAAGCCTGGAATTCCAAATACACATCTCTGATGTATCACAGGATCACAAGCACATGAACCATTATCTGCTACTTCCTAGTATACATTAGCAGAGAGCTGTATTGGAAGCAGGGTAGGCTGAGATTAAACTGGTACTGTTTTTGGATACAGACATCCTGTGCAGTGACTTATGGCATCTTACCACAAAAACCACTCAGCCATAGTTGAAAAAAATTCTGGTAGTAAATATGATCATTAATGAACATTGTGAAATCTATAGGTACAATTTAATATATTAATGTGTTATGTAAAAAAACTGTATAATGTTCATATATATTATCTTGTACTCATTTTGTTAAAATCTTATCCCTCTTGGGTATAAGTAACTTCATTCATTTTACATGGGTATGCCAGGAGAAACAATTATATTTGATTTAGTGATATCATTAATTTTTTCTCACTTCAGATGCCTTGGAAAGGAATGATCTGAGTAAGATCTACCAAAAAAGTCAGGACAAAAATCTGAATCAGGATGTTATGAAAAATAATAAAACATCAACTCCCAAGATGATTAAATTAAGGAAAAACTTAATTTTAGTTCAAGCCATATTCCAACACTGAATATCAAAAAAAGAAACTATTCAGGAATTAAACCTGAAGAATGCAATATATGTCACAATGTGTATCCCATTGTGGGCCTGATCAACTACAAGCTGGAGTGAAATTTGATGCTACCAAGATACCTGGGAATGGTCTCCAATTCTGTGAGCCTCTTAACCAACAGCACAAAATTCAAACCGTGGAGCAGGTACTTGAACAAATTGGACAAGGGAAAATTTTCAAAAGGAAGAATATATTTTGTGAATCTGAGAAGCTTTTTATTGTAGAAACTTATAATAAGTCAACTGCCACTATTGGCAAGACAACTCAAGTAGTACAAGATTTCCATAAAAATTCTAACCTCAGTAAGCATCAACAAAGTCCTGGAAGAGAGAAAGTTTATAAATACATCAAGCCTGTGGAATCTGTCATTTACCAATCACATGTTAGAATGAATCATAGATCAAATATAGGGAAGAAATCCTATTCCTGTAAAACTTGTGGGAAATCATTCAGTAATAAATTCTGCCATATCCTCCATCACAGCACTCACGTAGTGGAAAACCCTCATGTGTGTATTGAATGTGTAGAAATCACTTACCAGAAGTCAGATTTCATTAGACATCAGAGAATTCACACAGGGTTGAAATCTTATAAATGTAATGACTGTGAGAAAGTCTTTGGCCAGAAGTCAAACCTCATAAATCATCAGAGAATACACGGGCGAGAAACCTTATGAATTTAATGACTGTGGAAAATCCTTTGGCCAGAAGTCAAACCTCATATATCATCAGAGAATTCACAAAGGGGAGAAACCTTATGAATGTAATCATTGTGGAAACGCCTTTTGCCATAAGTCAAACCTCACAAAGCATCAGAGAAGTCACACAGGGGAGAAACGCAATGACTGTGGAAAAGCCTTTGGCCAGAAGTCAAACCTCATAACTCATCAGAGAATTCACACAGGGCAGAAAGATTATGAAGGTAATGACTGTGGCAAAGTCTTTATGCATAAGTCACATCTTATTCTACATCAGAGAATTCACACAGTAAAAACCTTATGAATGTAATGACCGTGGAAAAACCTTTCTGTTGAAAAATTATCTTGTCAAACATCAGAGAATTCACACAGTAGATAAAACCTATGAATACAATGACTGTGGAAAAAAATTATGTGGAAGAAAGATCTTATCAGACATCAGAAAATTCACACAGGGGAGAAACCTTATGAATGTAGTGACTGTGCAAAAGCCTTTCTGCATAAGTCACATCTCATTCAACATCAGAGAATTCAGACAGGGGAAAAACCTTATGAATGCAATAACTATGAAAAAGCCTTTGGCCAAAAGTCAACCCTCATAAATCATCAGGGAACCCACACGGTGGAGAAATCTTATGAATGTAATGACTGTGGAAAAGCCTTTTTGCGCAAATCAGAACTCATCAGACATCAGAGAAGTCACACAAAGGAGAAATCCTATGAAAGCAATGACTGTGCAAAAGGGTTTGGTCACAAATCAAGCCTCATAAGTCAGAGAATTCACACAGGGCAGAAAGTTTATGAGTGTAATGAGTGTGGAAAAGTCTTTTGGAGGCAGTCAGATCTCATCCCACATCAGAAAATTCACCCAGGAGAAAACCTTATGAATGTAAAAACTGTGGAAAAGCCTTTGGCAAGAAGTCAAACATCATAATTCATCAGAGAATTAGCTCAGAGGAATAACCGTATGAATGCAATGACTGTGGAAAAGTCTTTGGCCAAAATTCAAGCCTCAACTCCTCACAGAATTCCCACAGGGGAGAAACCTTCTGAATACAACGACTGTGAAAAATGTTTTGAATATAAGCTACACATCATTAGATAACAACATCATGAATGTAATGATGGTGGAAAGCCTGTTGCTATAATTCACAACTAATAAAACATCAGAGAATTCACACCAGGAATTTTCCACAACATTGCCTTTTTGTGCAAGTTACATCTCACCAAACATTAAGTGTGGATATGCCTCTGGTACCAATCATACCTCATCAAACATAAAAGAATTAACATGCAAGAAATCTTTTGAATGTAATGACTCAGAAAGACTTTTACCATAATTCAGTCCTCATTGCACATCTTCAAATTCATATAGGGAATAAACCCTTTGAAAGTAATCATGTGGAAATGCCTTTAATTAGAAGTCATAACCCGTAAGACATCAGAGAATTCACATTTGAGGGAAATCTTAAAGAGTGTAATGAGTGTTGGAAAGCTCTGCCAAAATCTCAGTTACAACACCAGAGAATTCACAAAGTGGAGATCTCATGAATGAAATAAATGTGGGAAAGCTTTTTGTTATAGATCATACTTAGATCCATAGGAAAATAGAGAGAAGTGGACAGACCCACAGAGGCAGCTGTGTAAGGCTGGAGACCTAGTCCAGAGTTGTGTATCTACAAGAGAAGGAACTATTTCTACAGGTTTCTAGCAGACACCAGAAGTAGGAAGAGGAAGGAAGGACCCTCTCCTACATCTTTCAGAGAATACCTGGTCCTTTTGACACTTAGAATGTGCCAAATTACCATTTGTGGAACTTTGTGATAGCAGGGCCAGGGCACTAAAAATAGACATGAGACCATAATGTCACCTTCCTCCAACCTCCTGACCACAGCACAGCAGCCAGAACCTCTGTGTCCAAACATTCCCTACAAGAAAACTGCCTGCCTTCATTAACTTTCTGTCTTCACTGACAAGGCCTGGCCCCAGGAAATCATGCATTAAGGGAATAAATCAATGGATTCCTTCCAGTGCTGTATTCAGATGTTCATAAAAACCAAGGTACATCTACACATGGGAAGCACAGAGGGTGATGGACAGGAGGAAAGATGGCCCGTGTAGGGCATTCCAGTGCTCACAGCCACACTGTGTGCTGGGGCAGCCAACTCAACTCCAAATGCCCAGCCTCTGCGACTTGGCAGGTAAAGTCATTTCTGTCACTCAGCTCCACCACTTACCAGTTCCATGACCCTGGACTGCCTCTCTGAGCCTGTTGGATCTTCCCTCCTGCTCAGTGAGAATTTTACATGACTGTGAGATGATATCTTTCCAACCCGTGGGCTGACATCACCTATAGTTATAGAGATGGAAAGATCACAAAAACATAGGGACAACATTTTTGTGGCCACAACTCAAAACAGTTCTAGGTTCACTGATGGCCTTGTTTCCTAGTCTGTCCCATGAGATACAGCCATTCCCTCACATGCACTATCTGAATCTCTCTTGGGGAAGCAGGGTCTTTCATGGGGACACAAACATGCAACCATGCCGTTTTCCTAGGACACACCATTGACAGATCTTACTCCACACCAAATAGTGGACCACATCCTTTCCAAACTTCTGACCTACTGCTCCTTTGCTCTTCTTCCCCACAATGTTATATGAATCTGCCTCCATTACTTATAATCCCTCACACTGTTATCAGTGGAGGGGACCAAACAACACATCCTATTCAATATACATGGGAGAACTCATGTCAATGTGAAGTACAGGTTTCTGAGTTTCTCAAACATTTCATCTTGCAGGAATCTTGCTATGGGCTGTCCCCTGCTAGATTAATTGCAATCAGAGGTTTTTTTCTCCAGCCAAATTGCTATCTGTTAGCATCAGCCAGGTATGATTCCTGTTATAAGGCTGGAGCCCATATTATCCTCCCCTATCAGCTCAGACAGGATGTGGCCAGGGATTGTCTGCTCAGGAACATTTTAGGGACTTTTTTGTTTTACTATTCAACAATGTGCATGTCAGCAATTCCCAAAGTATATCTCTTTTCTAGTCAGCTCAGTTACATGCTTGAGATGGTTATCTCTTCTTGCTTAGGTGCCTCATGGAATAACCCTTTCACTTTAATTTTCTGATTTTATGATACAAAAAAAAGGAGAGCTAGGAGTTGAGTTTGACACTTGGGACATGATTCTCATCAAGTCTGCATGTGTAATAAACTGTTTGCCTTTCCTCCTAAAAGTTTCAAGTGTGGCTTAGTTTCTTTGGTGTCTTATCTGTAATATTTGATTTCCTGACCAGGAAGTTGTCTGAGCTGGCCCATTGTGCCATTGGTACAGGGAACAAATGAATTGGAGGTGACCACTGTAGGACAGATGAATAGGCACCATTCCCAAGACTTTTGGATAGAGTCCTCCCTGTGGCAAGGGCTGCTACCTCCCTGATCACTGGTGCCCATTCAGACTCACAGTGATTCAGGGCAATTGTACTTGGAAACACCAGACAGGTGAGAGCAGTCAGGAACCAGGGTCAAAGACAGGCCTGCCCCTATGGGCAGAAGGGGGACTTGATCACTCCACCAGAAATTTGTACATTTCAAGAGTAGTCTGGCCCTCAGAGGGAAGGAATGTCTTGAACTGTGTATGAAAGCTGTGAATGTGTGGGCACTTTCACATGCATTAGTGGTTTGAATCTATTGACCCTCAGTAGAAGGTATAATTTAAGAGTGGGCCTGAAACTGCAATTCTCTGGTGATCCCCATATAGTCAAGGCAGTTGGAGTTACTCTCTAATCCTGCCGTAGCTAATAGGCACCTAAATTCCCACCTTGTCCAAGAAATGATAACAGTGGTTCACCTAGGCCTATAGCACACTTGGTACAGACATGTCTTCTTCTCCCATAGTCTGGAAAAATCCCCAGTACCTACTGCTAGAAGTTTAATTATTTGGGAGGAGTGAAGATTTGAAGAGGCTGACACTGGACTCTCATGTCCTGGGGAAGATCACTGCGATAGGGTTAGCAGAACTCCATGATGCCACTGTTGTCTATGGTTGGCATCTGGGGTAAGATCCCATACTGGCTTCAATATCCCTGCCCTTCTGTGTGCCTATAATAATGAAAGGACTCTGTGTGAGAGCCAGTATTGGGAAGGAACATTCCAGGGAGCATCTCAAGGATTATGCAGACATCTCAATTTCTCTGGTAGAGACAGGCATCTCCTAAAGTTGATGATGGTGAGGGCTGAGTAGGGTATTTCTTTTTGCCTGATGTCATTGTGGGGCTTCAGACACCAGAAAGGGTGAAGTGGAGCCCTCAGTGGGTCAGCTGATGTGATCTGACTTTCTGAGGGATGCATGGTGGGTGTGACTGGGGAGAGGGCATTAAAGGCATCCCCAGACATGACTTATCAGTGGGTTGTCCTTTGCAGCCACTCTCTATGGCTGTTGGGACCAGGGAGGATGTAGGCACCATAGTAGCCTGGACATGGGTAGCCCTTCCTGGATGTGGAAAAAGACAGTGAGGTTCCTATGGGAAAAACTCCCCTTTAGCCAGAAGTGTTGACATGGATGTGGGTTTGCTTCTGCATCAAGCAGTATTTCCCTGTCCTGAGGTTGATTTCCCACTCCTAATTCCTACCCTGTACCATGTTTGGCTGTCAGGATTGTAATATGTCCTCAGATCACTTTGGCATCCAGAAGAGCTCTATTCTAAATATGTCACAGGTGTTGTGTAGTACCATGGGGCTGGTACCCTAGGTAAGTTGTGGGGTCCCAGCAGATATTGGGTATCTGGGAGTCAGGGGTGAAACAGTGCATTGTTATTTCTCCAAGTCCTGGGATTAGCAAGTACTTCACCTTCAGCAGGGACTGTACATCAAGTCCTGGTGTGGGGCAAGAGCATATGGAGCCAGAACACCAGTCGGAACCATCCACCTCTATTTTGTATTCTCTGGATCTCCTGACATTTTTGCTGGAAAAGGAGACGTGATGATTGCAGCAAAGCTGCCGGCCTTCCTAGAGTGCCCTTGAACTCAGTTTAGGAGTTATGAGGGAATGGAGCAGAAAATATCCAGAAAATTTTAAACATTGGGTCCTTAGATCTGCTGGATGGGTGACCCTAAATGACATAGTTTTGCAACTACAGGTCATCCAGTCTTCATTTTAGAGATGCCCATATTTCCAGTTGTGCTACAGCTATGGGATGGGTCCTGATGATCACCGGACAGGAAGCCAGTGTTCTGGGAAAGGTGGATTTGGTCAAACACCCCTAGAGTCCCACAGGAACTGCTGTTGCTTGAGGACTATGTGTACTCAGAAACCACAAAAACCACAGGTCACTCAGTTCAGCCTCCAAGATGATGTGCTCATGTCAAAGTACACATTCTCTCCCTTGTTTACAGAGTGCTGTCATGTGGCAGCTTCTTCTAACTGAAAGGCAAATAAGGAAGAGGTATGTACCATCCACCCCCTAAGGACAGTTACAGGAGTACCAGAATTGTTCCCATTAGGCTCCATGATTCAACAAGGAGACTGAGGAGGAAAGGGATATGGTGGCCCTTTAAGGATAATCTAGGAGGGGCAGTGAGCACAGGAAGCAAAGGCTAGGCAGGGTCCCTTGATGTCCATAGGGATACTGGCCATGACATCAGGCTGCTCCTTCCAGGCAGAATGCAGCACTGTTGGTAGGAACTGAGAGAGGCTTGTCATGAGGACAGATGGACTGCTCCTGGGTGAGTGAGCTCTGTACTCACAGTAACCACCCATAGGATCTGACCTTGAAACTGATGTGGGGGTTAGAACCAAGAATTGGTCACTGTTGGGAGTGTGCACCCTGGTACCATCTAGGATGGCATTGCCACAACCCTAAAAAGGTTTCCCCTTTTCCACCTGTCTCTCCTATTCACAGACTGCATGCAATACCTCTATTCCCCCATCTAACCCTTGTCTGGCCTGGAAGAAGTGATGGTTACTCTAGTCACACTGAACCTTCTTTTCCTGTGTCCAGTCAGCCCATCAAACATGAGGTCAAGCCCACTGCATGGTTTGAAACACCTCTTCATCCTTGTTTCAAGATGTCCTGCTAAGACAAATTCAGAGAATTCCCAACCTTCTGCCATATCTGGTGCTCTATGGCCATTTTCCCCATCCCTGCCTTTCTTTTTTGTTTTTAAAGATTTATTAATTTATTTGAAAGTCAGAGTTACACAGTGAGAAGGAGAGGCAGAGAGAGAGAGAGAGAGAGAGAGAGAGAGAGAGAGAAATCTCCCATCTGCTTGTTCACTCCCCAATTGACTGCAATGGCCAGAACTGTGCTGATGTGAAGCCAAGAGCCAGGAGCTTCTTCCAGGTCTCTCATGTGGGTGCAGGGACCCAAGCAGTTGGGCCATCCTCCCCTG